TTGCCCATGCGCACTGCCGGAGCAAGAGGCCGGCGGCCAGTCATCTCTGCTTCTGGGCGTCTGTCTGGTAGCTGTTCTATCAGCTGGACTTCTGAAATGAAGTTCAAGGGTCTAGAAGGTTTAGGGTCCTTGGAGCTGCTTCTTGCAGTAAGTGGAGGTTTCATAGTTAGAAGTAAGTATGGCTGGTTTCGGGATCATAGTCTCCCAAATCAAACTGGTTTCCAAGATGCCTAAACTAGGGCGTTCAAAAGAGGCCAGAGCGGTGATTTTCATTTCATTTAGCCAGTGAAGTGTTCAGGGCCTCCCCACTCGACATGGGCTGTTACTGCTATGGTCTTGGGTTTTCTGTGCCATCTTAAGTCCTGAGATTGCTAGTGTCTGGGGGCCCAGCCTGTGTCATATTCTCCCCATGTTCTCTAACAGTCTGAGCTTAGTTAGGTGGTGACTGAAACTATGGGTTAGATGGAACTAAACATTCTTGTTGGGGATACCTTCATACTTGCTTTTTACTATGGTATTAGTATATTTTGTAAAAAAAAAAAAAATCATGTGTGCTTGCTGTGTGTGTGTGTGTGTGTGTGTGTGTGTGTGTGTGTGTGTGCGCGCGCGCGCGCACGCATGCGCGTGCGTGGGTGTGCGAAAGCAATAGACATTGGCTTAATTATGTCCAGAAAAGCTCCCTCTCCTTTACAGGTTGAGTTAAGGCGTCTGTCATATGAAACAGGGCGTCCTGGTGCCTTTGCCCCTCTGTCTTTTGATAATTGAGCCTAGAGGACTAATGCCTCCAAAGTTCTCTTGTAGTGGTGAGGAGAGTCATCTGATCCTCATTAAGGCAGACTGGAGGAAGGTGTGATGAAGAGATGATAGAGTGGCAGGAAGGGAAAGCATCATCCTCTCAGTCCAGAGCTGACAGTAGAGCCAGAGGAAAGGGAGAGAGGAACGAAAGTGAGGCTTCGGTCGAACAAGTTGATAGAGCACTGAAGGCTGTGTCTGGGTTTCTGTGACTAGCCACTGAGCAGTGACCACACACTCTGCATGGTTTTCTGCATGACTGAGGCAGAGACTCAGAACACAGTCTAAATTAAGATCCAGACTTGCTGGATCTTGCAGGTTGATGGGCCTGAAAGTTCATTAGAGCTCAGTGTGTGGTGGAAGAAAAGACCCTTTAAGAAGGAACTTTCAGCCGGGCGCTGGTGGCTCACGCCTGTAATCCTAGCTACTCAGGAGGCTGAGATCTGAGGATCGCGGTTAAAAGCCAGCCCGGGCAGGAGAGACCGTGAGACTCCTATCTCCAATAAACCACCAGAAAACCAGAAGTGGCGCTATAGCTCAAGTGGTAGAGCGCTCGCTTTGAGCTGAAGAGATGAGGGACAGCGCCCAGGCCCAGAGTTCAAGCCCCACGACCGACAAAAAAAAAAAAAAAAAAAAGAAGGAACTTTCAGGCAGGATTCTCTGTGGACAGAGATAGGATAGAGATGATGGCAAGGTATCTGTCTGTTGTCCAGAAAAGAGGAAGCCTGTGCCTGTGGGTCTAGCCAAAGCAGTAGGGGTTGTTTCCTGAAGTTGCAGGGTACAAGTAGATCTGCACCTAAGCTTTGGTGATACCCAGCCTGGGGAAGGGGTCTGATTCCTTTGTTTCATGAAATGAGCCTAAAGACATGGTGGCCTTAAAGACATGGTGAGATGGCCTAAGATAGGGAACAGAAAGGCCCAGAGTAATGTGCTCCTCGAAGAAGGAGGAAACTCTGTGTGTTAGTACCTCTGTGTTTACACCCGTAGGCTGGTGAGGCTGAGGAGGATCTCACACATTCTTTTCTTGCTTGAATCTCATCCCAGCCCTATGCATCTATATTACTATGCTACCTTCACTGAAGAAGACGATGAGACGCAGAGAAGCTGAGTGACCTGCTCACAGGTCCCCACCAATAAGTGGTTAGACACAGAATTGACCTCTTAGCCACATCTCCCATACTGTCTCTCAAACACCATGGTGAACATGTCAGCAAATGCATCTGGCTGAGTTACCCATAAGCCAGAAGTTATAGAGAAAGGGTAGGTAGCTTCCCAAGGCATGTGGGGTCTGGGAGAGGAATTTTAGGCTATATGATGTCTTTGCCCAAGGGAACATTTCTAACCTTCTCTAGGGACAAGTTAGGGCATGTCTCCAAGGGCTGGAAGGAGCCCCAGGATCGCAAGTGGAAATTGTAACTGAATCACAGCAAGGATTCCTCTGGGAGCTATAGAGGCCTTTATGATTTCCAGAACATTTCCTCTAGTTTGAAAGTTCTTGACAATTACGTGAAGCAAAAACTCAAAGATCCATTTTACAGATACAGAATGAGGCTCAGAGGGCTTTAAGACTTGCCCAAGACCACATGGTTTGTGTACGAATCAGGCTGTCAGTGTAGTCTCCTGACGCCCAGCTCAGGATCCTTTCCTGCTTTAGCACATTCTCAGTTGAACAGTGGTGGGACACTCTTCTGCACCTAATGGAGGCTGGCATTATGACCAAGCCATTCAGAGGACCAGACACGAGGATAGAGTCTGAAGAAAGGATGACATCCACATGAAAGGCACAGCCCAGGTGTGGCAACAGTCACCGGGCAGCACCACTGCATTCAGATCCTGATGTGTACATGTGTGTATAGATGCATGCACACACACATCAGATATAAAAGGCAACGCATTTGTAAAGATGCCCTAATACTAGTCCTTGTGCTACTCAAATGCACAGGGTTAAATTGTGCATGCTAAAGTTTATAAATTAAAAATAGAATCTCATTGTATTTTCCTTAAAATACCAAGTATTTTCATTGGTCATTCCTGATAGAATAAATGTCAAGGAAAGCAATGATTTTATCTGCTTTCACATGATAGTGTACATGGTTTCAGAGAATCTGTCCATGGAGGTCTTTTAAATGAGCAAGGGTGGCATTTATGCAGGTCATTTATCATCCTTCTACCTATCCATGGCAGTAGACACTTGACATTCATGATGAGTATTTCCTGAGACATTTATGACTCCCCTAATTGGAAAATACCACTAGAGCAAATAATTTCCCTCATAAAATCTTCTTCTTCTGACCCAAACTGTCATGTTTCTGGAGGGCTTCACTTTTTCATTCGCTCATTGTCGGGGCCATTTTTCATTTGGTAATTGATAACGAGACGGAACATGCATGTACTGTGAGGAACCAGGTAGTCTTTTGGACTACCTGAGTGAGTGACTCTACCCCAGTGGTGGTTTCTGCAAGAAGATTGGAATTGATGTTTCAGAAAAATGGTCAAGGCCTAGAAACTGTGGACTGTTGGGGACCTGCTTATAAATAGCCAAAACTGTGAATGTGGATCTGCACATAGCAAGCATCCCGTGTTCTCTGGAGTTTCAAAAACATCTTCACCTTCTGCAGTGCCAGCAGGCAGGAAGATTCTCTGGCTGGGGCAAAGGAGATACTGTAGCTCTGGAACTCAAGCTCGTCTCTAGCAGTGCCACACAGACGCCACAGCAGGGCTTCCTTGGATCCAGGGGTATGGGTGTGTCAGCACTCTCCAGAACTCACTGTGCTCTGCTTTGGTTAAAAAGAGAAACTCAGGAAGCCCTGGAGTTAGGCTCAAAAAACCAGTTTCCCTAAGCTAAGAAAAATAGCATTCAACTTGAATGCAAACTTCCTGTAGCACCCCAACAGCTCTCAGTACCTTCCATTATGAATCTTAGGGCCTTCCATGGTTTATCAGTTTTATGTTCGGGAGTTAGGCTCTTAGAAAAAGTCCATTTTCCTTAGGATCTGTGATTATTATAAAAGTAAAAGGGCAGGAAGATTAAAAAATAGTCAAACTTGGAAGTCCTCCCTGGATGAATTCTATAGATACATGTCATGTGTGGAAGACCGGTTTACTCACACAAATTATAATCATGGAAGATGAGAGATGGCCAGAAGCCAGCTTAGGGCCTTAAAAATACCATCCAGTCTTGACCATGTGAACGAATGGGCAACAAACCTTTGAAGGCCGCTCTTCAGCTTTGCTTTGGTGGCAAGCACACTGGCATTTAAGTACAAGGTGTTTAGAATGCTTCAGCTTTCATCAGGATGAATGCTAGCATCTCATATTCTAAGAATTCAGAGTTTGTCTCCAGTACAAATATGATTGACCTTTTCTCATTAAGACTGAATCTGGCCAGCCACCAAGGGATTAGGGCATCACCTGACAGTGGCCATGGCAGACATTTGCATGTCTGTTGAGGTGGGGCTAGCTAATTCTCAGCAAAGTACTTGAGCTTCCTGTTAACATCTTTCATAATTTTTTTTTCTTTTGTCGGTCATGGGTCTTGAACTCTGGGCCTGAGCATTGTCCCTGAGCTCTTCAGCTCAAGGCTAGCACTCTACCATTTGAGCCCCAATGCCACTTCCGGTTTTCTGGTGGTTACTTGGAGATAAGAGTTTCTTGGACTACTTTCCTGCCTGGGCTGGCTTTGAACTGTGATCCTCAGATCTCAGCCTCCTGAGTAGCTAGGATTATAGGTGTGATACACTGGCTCCCAGCTCACATTTTTTTTTTTTGAGTGAACTTTCTCTACATCTCTGAAGGCCATGGATCCCAGAAATGCTACACTGAACTGTTTTCTGCATGGATAATCCCCGTGTACAGAGAATGCTCAAGTAATGCTATTGACAGATGGGAGTTGCGTGTTTCTCATCAAGACTTACAATTGGCTTGCTCGCTGTGACATTGCCCTGCCAGTAGGGTGAGAACCAGTAGGGTTCTTCGGGCGCTAGGCCCGCTCATGAACTGACTGGTGACATTTTATGCCTCTCTCTCTGGGGGGTGGGGAGTCTTGAGTGGGAATGGGTGGTAAGAGCTGCACAGCCCTGCAGGACTGGCAGGTCCCTGTCTTGAGAGACTTCCGGCATCATCAGTCATCTCGTGGGAACATGAGCACAAAGCTAGGCTGGCAGTCTTGCAAGGAGAGGCAGGAAGCCAGGAAAGGTGGGGCAGCTTACCTTCTTGACTTCGTATTTAATGGCGAGTTTGATCCGGCTCAGACTTGGACGGTGGTGGTCAGACCAGACTTGGAAATTCACATCGCCATTTAAAATCGCTTCCACCTCTTCTGTGTCTCGGCACAGGTCCAGCACGCCCACCACAAAATCCTTGCATTGCATAGATAACTTCCTGTAATCGTTCTAACAGAATAGAGAGAAGTCAGGGTGTGTCACGCTCAGCCCCACAGAGCGGCTTGCTCTGCACAGGGGTGTGGATCAGCACCTGTCCACCACAGTGAGCCCACATGTTGCCCTGGGACCACGCACAAGACAGGGCTGTTTCTCCTGATGTGTCCATGGGCTATACTGCGTCCATCACCCAGGTAGGGTGCGTGCTAAGGTGTTGATCCTGAGGCCGAAGCTCTGCTCATTGAGTCAGAGTCCTTGGAGGAGGGACCTAGGGATCTGTCTTTTAAATTTGCTCCCTAAGAGATCCACTGCAGCCCACCCCAGCTTCTCTCAATTCTGAGGTAAGAATTATAAAGACGTAGGGTATCTTCCTTCCTTCCTTCCTTCCTTCCTTCCTTCCTTCCTTCCTGTCTGTCTTTCTTTCTTTCTTTCTTTCTCTCTCTCTTTCTTTCTTCTTTCTTTCTGCCTTCCTTTCCCTGCCTCCCTTCCTTCCCTCCCTCCCTCCCTCCCTCCCTCCCTCCCTCCCTTCCTCCCTCCCTCCCTCCCTTCTTCTCCCTTCCTCCTTCCTTCCGTCCTTCCTTGCTTTCTTCTCTTCCCTCCCTCCCTCTCCCTCTCTCTCCCTCCCTCCCTCCCTCTCCTTCTTCCCTCCCCTCCCCTCCCCTCCCCTCCCTCCCCTCCCCTCCAGTCCCTTCACATGCTACTACTGGGGCTTGAACTTAGGGCCTTGTGCTCTCTCTTGGCTTTTCCCACTAAAGGCTGATGCTCTGCTTCTTGAACCACACTTCAACTTCTGTCTTTTTGCTGGTTAATTGGAGATAGGAGTTTCATGGACTTTTCCCCTTAGGCTGGCTTTGAGCCTCTGGCCACAATTACACTTTTCATGATCTGAAAAATAGTGGTTTGTAAATTACAAGCTTAAAAATCAAATGTCATGAGCTGGGCGCTGATGGCTCACACCTTGAATTCAGGCTCACACTTGAAATCTGAGGATAGAAAGTTGAAGCCAGCCTGAGCAGGAAAATCCAAATAATCACCAAAAAAAGCTAGAAGTAGAACTGTGGCGCACGCACACACACGCGCACACACACACACACGCACGCACACACACACACACACACACACACACACACACACACGTCATTTACATTTAACAGGACCCTTTCTTCCACAAATCCGTTTGTGTGGGCAATCAGGACTTCTTAATTACCTCCCTGTGGTATAAGCAGTTTTAGGCCTTGACCTTTTGGTTGTTGTTTCTTGTTTACTGAGTTGCTCCTGTATTTCTCTCTTCTTCTCCCTACTGTTTCTCTCTGAATCTCTCACCTCCTTTTGTAGTAATCTTCCAACTTCTCCCTCTCCCAAACAGACTGCTTAAATTCCAGATAACAATCCAGAATTTGAACAAAAAGAATACTTCCTGTCACCCGTGTAACACTACTCCTTCCTAGTATTTCCCCCCAGAGGCCTCCTGTGTTGGTTTCTTAGCTGAAACAAGTCTATTTCAAAGAGCCAGATGTCATTTTCAGTGCTAATCATTGTCAGCAGCTGTCAGACTGGTAAATAGCAGTTGGCAAATATGAGTGCAGTTTTTGCTTTTCTGGAACCTGGATTTCTCAGCAAATAGGTGTGAGCCGGGCAAACTGCAGACGCTCAGCCATTTTCCCAAGTTAATGATTCTTGTCTTCTTCCGGAGCTGCTGCATCAAAATGTCACTTTGCATTATGGAAAGCTTTGCTGGGAAAGGGAAAGGATCAAAAACTACTTTCAGATAAAAATGGCTGCCTTCCATTTTTATTTATAATTTAGGTAGAAGAATTTTGGAAATTCTGAGTAAAAAAAATGACTGCTCATCTCAGACAAATTTTCTTTGGGGGAAAGGTACTTGGAGTAGTGTAGCTTTAGTCTCTGAGAGGTACAGGATGCGCTGGGTTCTATACTTGGCTGAAGTATACTGCAGAGCTGGCCTGATTCAGAAGTGGGCTCAGTAGAATGAACAGGATGCGCTGCCCTATTGCCGGTACCGGGTCTAACTCTGGTAACCCTGCCGTAGGCACTCCCATTTCCCTGAAGCTTCACCTCCACTCTACCTCCACGTCACTGCCCCTTTCCCAAGACCAAGGAGTCTATTTGGATGTTGATGTCTGTTCTTGGCAAAGCAGACCTTGCTGGCAGGGCCAGATCTTAGCTCTTGGTGGAAACTTTGGCCTTTAGCTGAATGCAAGGACGGATATAGGAAGTGGGAAGGGCTTGACTTAGCCCTTAGGGGTCCTAACACCCCACACTGGGAACAAGTGGGTTCATATTTCTAAGAGTCTGCACACACCTGGGTTCAGGCTATGTCTGTGGGGAGTTACGATAATTATAATTCATTGGGCCATCCCCAAGCTCAGTGAGCTTTCCAAGACACAACTCATTCTCTTAAGTCTTTGATGAGAACAGAAGCTCTGCATGCTCGCATCGTTACATCCATCTCCCGCTACGAAGTTTTGCTCATGTGCTCTTTTTTATTTTCAGTATGGAGTCTGAATTCAAGGCTTTGCCATTGGTAGACGAGCGCTTTACTGTGGACGCATATATTCGCCTCCAGCCCCTTTCCTCTCATTGTTTTTCAGAGGTTTTGCTTTTTCTCTGGGCTGGCTTGGACAGTAACTCTTGTACGAATGCTCCCACACTGCTGAGATGACAGGCGCACCCCAGTGATGTGCCCTTATTGGTTGAAATGGGGTCTCGTGAACTTGCTGCCTGGCTGCTCTTGAACTACAGTCCTCCCATTCTCACCTTTTAACATAGCTAGGATTATAGGCATGGGCCATTATGCCAGTGTTGTGTGAATGTATTGTTTTACCTCTTCTTACCTTAGAGGAACTGTTCCAGCTCCTTCATGGCACCTCATATGCCCACTTCAGGACACACTCCCTTCCCCTTCCTTCCTTTCTCTTGCATTGTTAATTTCTCTTTTCCTAACTGGCTCAGGGTACAAACATGCTGTTATTTCCCTTGACTTGACTCCACTTTCTGCTTCAATTTCTCCTCCAAATTTCTTTTTTTCTTTTTCCTTTCTTTCTTTTTTAAAAAAAATTGATCATGAGGCTTGAACTCTGAGCCTGGGCGCTGTCTCTCAGCTCTTCAAGTGCTCAAGTACTCAAGGCGAGCACTCTACCAATTGAGCCACAGCACCACTTGTGGTTTTCTGGTGGTTTATTGGAGATAAGAGTCTCATAGACTTTCCTGCCACACTGGCTTTGAACTGTGATCCTCAGATCTCAGCCTCCAAAGTAGCTAGGATAAAAAATGTGAGCCACCGGCGCCCAGCTACTCCAAATTTCTAACAGCCCTCTTCAGTAGAGTTGTCTGTATACAGTGTATGCAGTTAGCCTCCGTGTGCACTTCACTGACCCATTTAATGGGATTCACCCACTGACTGCACTATGACTGCTCTTGTCAAAGTTACATATTACTTGTATGCTGCTGAACTCAGTAGTTGGTTCTCAGTCCTCATTTCATGTGACTTATTAAATGGTTGGCCACTTACTCTTCATCAGCCTCAGCAGAATGCACTCTTCTGTGGCTTTTCCTCCTGAATGACTATTTTTTACATTCTTTGGTGATTCATTGTCATTTCCCTCTATCATAATGTCCCAAAGATGTTCACAGTCCTCGGAAGTCTGTTTTGTCTATTTATACTCACTGCATTACTAATCTTATCTAGTGTCAGTGCTTTCAGCACCACTCACTTGCTGGTGGATCTAAAATTCTTATCTTTAATCTTAGCCTTTTCTGAATTCAAGATTCACACAGCCAGTTGCCAAACAGATATTTCCACTTGAGTGTTTAGTAGACATTTTATACTTTACAACATCAACTCTTTTTTTTTTTGGGGTCCGGTTGTGGGGCCTGAACTCTGGGCCTGGGTGCTGTTCCTCAGCTCTTCAGCTCAAGACTAGTGCTCTACCACTTGAGCCACAGCGCCACTTCTGGCTTCTTTCTTTTTGCTTATGTGGTGCTGAGGAATTGAACCCAGGGCCTCATGCATTGCAAGGCAAGCGCTCTACCACTGAGCCACCTTCCCAGCCCATACAACATCAACTCTTGACCTAGTCTCCTCTACGTATTAAAACTTTCCTTTATTTTAAGCTATTCTACACTAAGAAATCTGGCATTTATCCTTTATTCCTATCTTTTTTATAGTCCACACATAATTTGGCACATATAATATGCCTAAATATATCCATACTCCGACTGCTTTTCACTCTTTCCACTATTTGTACTTTGGACCACACCATCATCATCACTTGTTTGAACGGACACAAGAATGTTAACTCTCTTGATTTGTCTGTGTCTATTCTCAGTTGGAGGGATAATTAGTTCTCTCATGGCACTGATCTGCTCAAACCTTCCTTATATTAAAAACATAAACCTTTCTTAAATTAGTAAACTTTTTGAAATAATGAAATATCCAACGCAGACAAAATATATAAATAGCTGAATGTATCTCAGAGTTCTCAGTATTGTGCAGTTTTTCCCTTACTCATAACCATTTTGATGTATTATATACTTCATTATATTGATTGTTCATGTTAACTATTAGAATATAAGCTTTTTGAGGGCAGACCTTTTTTCTATTTTTTTTTTACAAATGTATCTTAAAATACTAGAATACTTTCTGAAACATGATATGCATTCATCACATACTTGCTGAATTAATTACAGTCAACTTTTCTAACAATCTAGCTACTCCGTGATTGAGCACTTGAAATAGGTTGGTCTGGCCAGAGCCTGCTGTCTTCCTTTCCTGCTCTTGCCTCTTAAAACAGCACCATCATTTGCAGTTAGCACACTAAAAGCAAGGCTCAGCTGGGGCTGACTCTTACTTAATTTTTGGAATAAAGGGTGGGAAGACATCTGGATATTCCCATCCCCAGAAGATTCTAGAGCACAGGTTTTGAAGTCAGAAGGACCAGAAGTTTAAAATTCCACTATCTGCCAGTGTACCTGTGAAAGTGAACAAGCTG